TCTCTTCCAGACAAAATTCATTTGCATTTCTGCGGACAAGAGTCAGTAACGTTACTATTGGTTTTCTGTAACTTACAATATTGCAAAATAACCCATTCAAAAGAAAGGTGCAGATGTCTATAGAACCAAATAACCCCAAAGAGCCCATTAGACACTCCTGGTAATCCATTGAAAGGACATACAGTAATTTTTTTTCTTACTTGAAAGTTTTTTGCAATTTCTTCTGTCATCTTATGAGCCCAAAACTAGAAACAACCCAGAAGTCCACCAAGGATAAAATGGATAAATTGTAGTATTTTTCATGCAGTGGAAATCTGTATAGCAACAGGGATAAAAAAAAAGTACAATTAAAAAAAGAAGGATGCCTCGGTGGCTCGGTTGGTTGGGCAGCTGCCTTTGACCCAGGTCATGATCCTGGGGTCTGGGATCGAGTCTCACATTGGGCTCCCTGCTCCGAGGAGAGCCTGCTTCTCCCTCTCCCTCTGTCTGCTGCTCTGCCTTGTTGTGCTCTCTCTCTCTCTCTATCAAGTAAATAAATAAAAATCTTAAAAAAAAAAGAAAAAAGTACAATCATATGCAACAATATGGATGAATTTCATACACATGTAATGTGCACAAGAAGCCATTTGCAGAAGAGTACGTACTGTGTTATTCTGCATAAAATTGAATGAGTAAAACTTGTGTGTAATGCATTAGTGGTTATGATTATTCTGGAGTTGGGTTTGTGACTGGGAAGGTATGTGGAGGAACCTTCTGAGTATCATGTTCTGTTTCTTGATGATTATGCTGGTAACAGAGGTATATTGACATAGAAAATTCACTAAGCTGTACATAGATGTATGATTTATGTGTTATTTCTGTGTTGGTTATTTTTCAACAAAAGTTTGCTAAAAAGAATCAACTTGCAGACACAGTTCTCCAATTTGGCCAGTATCTAAAAGGGGAGTTGGGGGTATAAATATGTACTCTTGTCTTGATTCTTAGTCATTACAGAGCATTATTATTATTATTATTTTTAAATATTTTATTTATTATTTATTTGACAGACAGAGATCACAAGTAGGCAGAGAGGCAGACAGAGAGGAAGGGAAGCAGGCTCCCTGCCAAGCAGAGAGCCCAATACCGGGCTGGATCCCAGGACCCTGGGATCATGACCTGAGCCGAAGGCAGAGGCTTTAACCCACGGAGTCACCCAGGAGCCCCGAGCATTATTATTACTGTTGTTGGTATTTGATTGGCTTTTCTGTTCTGTAGTCAGATACCTTTGAAAAGTCATCACAATTTCAGAAACAAGTTTAGTTCTGAGGGCTAGATGACCTTCGTTTGCTTTTAGAATTCTCTAACGATAGTTATAAAGCTCTCCCACAACTTTTATAGCCCTTTCTCTGTGTGTATTATTGTCTCGGCTGTTATAATTTCCTTTTGCCGTAGATTGAGCTGTGAGATTCTAAACTTGTACTCCCCCCAACTTTTTTGGTTTGGTATGTAATTTGCATATTTTCACCATGCGAAAGCTATTTTCTATGGTTGGAAAAGATTTTTTTCCTACAGTGTGAACAAATCATTCTTTGTTCTCCTTATTGTGCCTCCAAACTGGTACGTCCGGTTTATGCTCCAAACAACAAAAGTCTGTCATCAGAAATTAAAATGCCAGTAAGAACAAAGGCAGAGACCCATGAGGAACTCTTGGAGAGGTTTCCTCCCTGTTTGCTCCTCTCCCCAAGTTACCACCGTTGCCAGGAAGTTGGAACATTGCTTGGTACACTCCTTCTTGTAGTTCTGCCCTTGTATTTATTATTGTTGGATTAAAAATGAATTTACAGCTCCTGGTAATTCTTGTCAGGATATATAAAACCCTCATCTCTGAGATTTTTTGCCATTTTCAATTAGCTCTTTTTAAGAGATGTAAAAATCACTGTGAAAACCATTAAAAAAGTTAATCAATTTTGACACTCATTTATTTGAGAGCAGAATTACCAGTGAACATACTGTATGAAATTACTAGAGGCAATTGAAAGCGGCAGCTAAAGCTGAGCCTGTAAGGACTTATCCATCTTGTGTTCTTTCTAAAATGTGCAGACGTCACGTCTTTATATATTTTGTTGGCAATTCTGTTCTGAAATAGCATTCCAGTATAGCAGTTACACACACAGTTGGGAGAGTTCTCTCCAAGTTTGACATTTGCGACTCCCTTAGTATACTTTAGAATTAGACTTCTAACAATCTTGATTTTAACATATTCACAAATATCTATAATAAATAGTGATAGGATGTTTCTTCATCCTTATGTTACAATTAAAGATTTTAGAATTTAACTTAGAGGTAATAAAGGATGGGTAATAAACGCAGGATGCATTTTGTAATCATTCCTAATGTTCTTTCTTACCTGTTGCTGTACATTTAAAGAGGGATTTAGAGTAGAAGCTAGGAATAGAATAGAGCATTTAGAGGTCTGTTTTGAAAGCTGTTATGCTGAGGAGCATGGTGTGCTCTAATTTCAAAATGTTTTTCGATGTCAGAGTAAGCTCTTGTGTATTAAATCCAGTGTTAAACGTTTATCGTATTGTGAGAATGCCGAGACAGCTTGCCTTATTCTTCATTATTTAGTGTAATTTAGTACATAGCTCAGTTAAATATGATTAGACTTTTTTTTTTTTAACTTTAAGGTTTATTTCATAAAACCAAAAGCTACATGCTAGACCTGTGGCATATGGCAATAAAGTACGGAGCAGATTCTGTGTCAGAATACCATGATTTGTATTTGTTATAGTGAGAAGTGTTTTTCATTGCTCTGAATTATAATTTCAGTGCAAGTTCAAAGAGATCATGATTTTTAGATTTCAGAGAATGTATGGTTACTGCCCTGGGTGGGAGTTTGAACAAAGTGACCTTTTAAGACTTCTAGATTTTAAATTCTGTTCTCTAATAGTAAACTGTAGACTTAAGAGCTACAGTATCTGATGGCCCCGTTTTTCATGTAGAAAATTAATATCCACAAAGGAATTTGTAGAGCGCTCCATTCTTATCTTCGGCTATCCTGAGTTTATGGCTTTGGTATGTTTAATTGGTGATAGGTGGTGCTGTTGTTGCACAGTTAGTGTGAAGAGCCTAGCATTCCTCAAATCTTCTGCATCCCACGTGTTCCAAAGGGATTTGCCACTGCGGCCCATGAATGAGTTGAAATAATTTTTGTAAGCAAAATGAATATGATGTATCTTTAGGTATCCTGATAATTCAACATTTATAAGAAACAAAATATTTATAGTTTGCAGCTCTTAAATTCAGATAGGAGACAAGCTGAAGAGCTGAAAAAGCACTTAATCTTAAAGACAGCGCTGCAGATACACAGTTTAATATTGAAAGCTTTAGAAGCCATTTATCTTGTATGCATTGTGGATATTCTAAACTGCTTGTTTGGCAGGTCTGTTAAAAATCTACTATCAGCCTGTTTCCTCTGTTGACTGTTTATCATTATTACATTTGTCGTCAGTTCTTGGGTATTTAGAACTGGTTTTATCTCTTTTGCCATTTTCCCTGTCTGATATCACATAGGCCATCAAACACTTAAGAATTATGAAAATGTGGGACACCTGGGTGGTTCAGCTGGTTAGGTGTCTGCTTTTGGCTCCTGTCATGATCCAACTCTGCTCTCTGAGCTCTCTGCTCAGTGGGGCGCCTGGTTTTACCTTTGCCTGCTGCTCCCCCTGCTTGTGTACTCTCTGTCTCTGGCAAATAAATTGAATCTTAAAAAGAAAAAAAATATGGAAATGTATTGGGAACTACATTACCACTTAAAGCAGTCTGGAAAGCCTTTCCTAACTAATTCTAATTTAATCTGCTCAATACTTTAATTAGCCACAGAGTGTTTCCTTGAGCTGCTAGTTTTGAAAAGCGATTGTTTTCACACTCAACACATACATTGTCATATCTCTTTTTCCTTTGGGCTAATAGACTGCTGTACTTTCTGTATCTGAGGAATAACTTCGGTACAGCTCAAAACAATATGACATTTATGCAGTGTTTGATCTAGGTGTATAATAAAAATGATGGCATTTAAAGGTGCTTACATATTACTTTTGTAATTCATAGAATATTAAAATTACAAGTATCTTTGAGGTCCTTTAGCCCCTTTACCTTTTCAGTTTGTACATGCAAACGAATACGGGCTTAGGAGAGAGGGGGGAATGGGGAGATGTTGGTCACAGGGTAAGAGTTAGTTACGTAGCGTGAGTAAGTCTAGGGATCTAATGTTCATGCACGATAACTGTAGTTAGTAACACTGTACTGAATACTGGAAAACCGGTGCTCTCATCATACAAACAAGGTAACTGAGGAGATGGCTGCAGTGATCATTTTATCATGTATGTATATTAAATCATCATGTTGTACACCTTAAATACATACAATTTTCATCCAAAATATATTTTTAAAAATATAGGTATATATAAGTTAAATGATTTATTCAAGGTGCTTAACAGGTAAGTAGTTGCAGGACATTTATTACAGTGTTCTTTGCAATTTGTTTTGCTTTTTCTCATTTACAACATATTTACAAAAGTTATTACCACATTTAAGTTCTGCTTTTCAGAATACTAATAATATTTACCTTTTTCTTACATGGAAAACTTTGTACTGATTTAAAAAATAGTAACTGCTTTGCTGTAAAATGAGAGGCAATCAATCGTACAGGAACTGAATAGACTTATAGTAGTTTATTAAAGATAAGAATTACAGACTTCAAGAACAGATCATTCATTTTCCTATTTATGTCAAGTGTAAGGAAATAAAAATCTCTTCATTTTCTCAAAATATTTGTGGTAATTTAAACATGAATATACCTAATGTGTGTGAACAACCATAAATGTGTGTATTTGTGTGCATGTGTGCACATATTACATTTCAGATAAAAAATTGTAATAAAATTTAGGAGATCTTGTTTTCTTTTAATCATGTTCTGACCTGCATTTTCATTTACTGAAATTTTTTGTCTTCTCATGCAGATCAGTGGGGAAGCACAGGAGCTCTTTTCTGTTCGACATGGCCCCATTCGAGCGGCTAGAATCTTGCCTGCTCCGCAGTTTGGTGAGTGGAGCCCTTAAGAAAGAACAAATCATTCAGGAGTTTCTCTTTTATTGGTCTTGGACTACAGACAGCAAGAATGATAACTAAAGTCTATTTTCCTCCAAGTGCCCATCCCCTTCCCTTCCTCCTCACAAGATAAACTCCTGTTCGTCAGTTGAGATGGAAATAGGTAATCTTAACCAATTCAATATGGCCATTCACATTCTACTGTGGTTTTGACTTATCTTCAACCACTTTGATCTCGATTTAGCCTCTGACTTTGCTGGCTCTGTCTTGAAGCCCTCTTCTCACTTGGTTTGCATGGCATTACTCTTCCCAGATCCCTTCCTTGTTGACTGTGCTGCTTTTGTTACGTGTCTGGCTTAGCTTTCTTCTGTGGGTATTCCCCAAGTCTCTGTTGTTCTCATGTCTTTGCTCTTCTTAGTTATTCTTACTGCCTTGGAGAGGTTGGTTTTCACCATTATCTCGCTTGTAGATGAGTCTGCTGTCTGCATTTCCAGCTATGTCAGAAGTACAGTTTCGGGCTTCTGACCTTCCATCTCTGCTTTAAAAAGTAATACTTCTTAATGCTTAAATGTTGTATTTAGATATTATGTATGATTTGTTTTTATTATTTTTTTTAATCAAATACATGTTTAAATGACACCTGGTAGTTGGGTGCCTGAATAACTCCTGGCACTTTAATGATCTGAGATTTCTGTTGTGTTTTCTCATGAACTTGCCTCTGTTCACTCAGTCATATTTTTGCACGAGCAATAAAAACACAGTCAATTAAATCTTATTTGCATACTTTAAAATCTTTTAAAAAAGAGGATGTTAAAATATTTTAATTCTATTAAACTTGAAAGTTTTCCCAGAAGTTGAGTAATCTTCCTTATAATACTTCATTGAGCAGTTAATTCTCTAAACTGGTAAGAATGCTGTGTTTTAAAACTTGCTACCATGTGCATTATGCATTAAGCATATGCATAAGCAATGTCAGGGATTATTTTAGTGGCTGAGTCTGCTTAATTGAAATGGAAGGGTGAACGTAACAAGGCAGTAACATCCTGCAGTCATGTAGAGACTTTTGTCCTTGTTATTGGACAATATGGTATACCCAGAGTTCAGTGGTCTCTTCTTTGCTCTCTCTCTCTCTCTCTCTTGCTCTGTTTTTTTGTTGCATTTGAGTTTTGGTGAAATCCTTTGACGAGGAAGATTGTGGAACATCTTTTCCCAGAAGGTTTATAGAATAGCCAGCTTTCTCTTTGGATGGTTGGACTCAAGAACAATGTTATTATTAAAAGACTTTGCTATATCTTTGTTTCTTTTGTATGTAATTCACAGACACAGATTTTTCTCTCTTCAGTTCATTTATGAAGCTCTTTTGTTTATGCCAGTTATTAATGTTCAACTTTTCTTAGCCTTTATTTTGGACAGAAATACTTCATGAGAGAGTATAAAGCTATAAAAGTTAATATTGCTAGTCAGATTTGAGTATATATAATTTATTTCATCTAATTAAAAAAAAGATTTATCTCTCTACTATATTTCTAAACATATAATATTAGATTTGAAATACAGTTTCACATAGCTAAGGGTTTTCTTATCCACAGGTTACCTATGTGTCACTTTTGTTGTATTTGATTAATTTTTTGGATTTGTTTTTACTGAAGTCCGACATGTGACTGATCACATAAAATTTGTAATGGGAAATAGAACACCTCATCCCTCTCTTGTCCATTTTCCTTTGTGTGATCATTTTGGTGGAGTAAGTCTTTTAGTAGCTTCCTGAAAAAGGATGTGTGGTGGGGCGCCTGGGTGGCTCAGTGGGTTAAGCTGCTGCCTTCGGCTCAGGTCATGATCCTAGGGTCCTGGGATCAAGCCCCGCATCGGGCTCTCTGCTCCGCGTGGAGCCTGCTTCCTCCTCTCTCTCTGCCTGCCTCTCTGCCTACTTGTGATCTCTGTCTGTCAAATAAATAAATAAAATCTTAAAAAAAAAAAAAAAGGATGTGTGGTAAATTTTGTCTAAAGATGTCTTTATTCTTTCTTAATTCTTGTTTGGTAATTTGGCTGGGTAACAAATCCTTGTTTGTAAATGATGTTACTTGAGAATTTTGAAGGCATTGATCTAGTGCTATGATTGAAGAGTCGGAAGCCATTTTGATACCTTTTTCTTTGTCTCTGGCTTGTTTTTCCTGTCTGGGAGTTAGTAGAATGTTGGTCTTTGTTCCTAGTGTTCTGAAACTTTACATTGTTGTTTCTTAGTTCATACATTGTCCTGGGCCTTCAAGGTGGGAATGTAAGTAGTATAGTTTTGAGAAAATTTCTTAAATTAATTTTTTGATGATTTCTTCTAAGTTTTCTTTGTTCTCTCTTTCTGGTACTTTTATTATTTGGTTCTTAGACCCCCTAGAATGATTAATGATTAATTTGGAAAAATAATTTCTTTCATGTTCTTTTTGGGAGATTGTCTCAATGTGGATTACTAATTCTTTTGTTGAATAATTCTTTCTACTATCATGTTTTTCTTAATCTTACCTTCTCATACGTAACACCTCGGTCTCTCTCAGCCTGCACCTCCTCTTCCTCTCTCTCTGCTCTCTCTTTTCTTTCTTTCTTGGTGTAATTTACATATAAATATTACCAATAGAATCCAGTGACACATAAAAAGAATTATATATCACAACCAATAAAGGATATTTCAGAAATACAAGGCTGGTTAATGTTTGAAATTCAATCAGTATAATTCACATTAATAGAAGGAAGAAAATCTATATGACCATCTTACTGTAAGTGGAGAACACCTTTGATAAAATTCAGTAGCCATATATGACTAAAAAAACCTTTCAGCAGGGTGCCTGGGTGGCTCAGTTGGTTAAGTGTCTGACTCTTGATTTCAGCTCAGGTCATGAGCTTGGGGTTGTGAGATTGAGCCCCACATTGGGCTCCTTGCTCATCACAGAGTCTGCTTGAGATTCTCTCTCTCCATCTACCCTTACCCCCCGTTCACTTGTCCTCTCTAAAGAAATAAGATGTTAAAAAAAACTTTCAGCAAATTAGGATAGAAAGAGATATTCTCAGTATAATAAAGATTATAAAAAATCTACTAACATCATACTCAGTAGTGATATATTAAATACTTTACTGTTGAGTTTGGGATGACTTCTACCATAACTTCTATTTATCTTTGAATGCACGTCCTAGTCATTACAATAAGGCAAGAAAAAGAAATAAAAGGTGTAAATATTAGAATGAAAGATGTAAAATTGTCTTTATTCACTGGTAATTTGATTGTGTTTATGGAAAATACAAAAGAATCTATAAATTGTTAAAATTAGTAAGTAAATTTAGTATAGCTTTTGCATACCAGGTTCATTAGATCTTTTGTGAACTGATACCCTCACTGTGTGTTTTCCCAGCATCATTTTCAGTCATCCTTAACCAGCGCTCCCCATCTTCCCCTTCCTTGCCCTAATAGTACTCTCTGATAATTTAACTGTACTTCTTTCATTTCCTTAAATGATCCATTCTCTTAAAGGTCATTTCATTGCTATTTATTTTTCTAGAACTCTCATGTCCATCTAACCTTTTTGCTCCATAGTCAATATTAATAGTATGTGCTCTCATAGGACTTACTTTTTTTTTTTTCTTTTTAAAGATTTATTTATTTTAGAGGGAGAGAGATAGAATGCATATGTGCAGGGAGAAGGGGAAGAAGGAGAGGGAGAGAGAATCCCAAGCAAACTCTACATAGACCATGGAGCTGATGTGGGGCTCAATGCAGAGCTTGATCTCATGACCTTGAGATCACAACCCAACTGAGGTGAAACCAAGAGTTGGATGCTCAATCCACTCTACCACCCAGGCCCCCCAGGACTTACTGTGTTTTGTTTGTTTGTTTTTGTTTTTAGTTCCTCATTTACCTCTCACTAGATTTTTTAAAAAAGATTTTATTATTTTTAATTAATCACTACACCCAATGTGGGACTCAAACTAGCAACCCTGAGACAAAGAGTCACACCAACAGCCAGCTGAGGGCCCCATACCTCTTGCTAGGTTTATAGTCTGTCTTCATATCTTTAGTGCCTCACCAAGTACTTGATATAAGGTGTTAATAAATATTTGTTGAAAGTTGCTGAATGGTGTAATCTCTTGAAAATTATTACCAGGAGAAAAGCAAGTTCCCTTTCTGTAGGTATTTCTTTTTTCTTTTCTTTTCTTTCCTTCCTTCCTTCCTTCCTTCCTTCCTTCCTTCCTTCCTTCCTAGATTTTATTTATTTATTTGAGAGAGAGAGAGCACAAGCAAGGGGAGTTGGCAGAGGGAGAGGGAAAAGCAGACTCCCCGCTGAACAGTGAGTCTGACATGGGGCTCAATCCCAGGACCCTGGTATCATGACCTGAACTGAAGGCAGATGCTTAACCGACTGAGCCACTCAGGTGCTCCTCTGTAGGTATTTCTGTGGAAAGTTTTGTCCTTTAATTAAAAGTGAAGATATGAAGGATATGATGGCATCTTATTCCACAGAAGATTATCATTAAATATAGTATAAATGGGCATTTGCTTATATCAGCATAGTTTAGCTTTCCTACTTCTTATTTATTTATTTATTTATTTAAAGATTTTATTTATTTATTTGTCAGGGACAGAGAGAGAGAGAGTGAGCACAGGCAGACAGAGACAGAGGGAGAAGCAGGTTCCCTGCCGAGCAAGGAGCCCGATGTAGGACTCGATCCCAGCACACTGGGATCATGACCTGAGCCGAAGGCAGCCACTTAACCAACTGAGCCACCCAGGCGTCCCGCTTTCCTACTTCTTAATGGTCACTATCAATAATTGGTTACTTTCTTGATGAACCTGTACCTTTTTTTAGAATTTTTTAGGACAGTGCTTCCGAAAACAATGACCAATCAATTGGTATTCTTATATCAGATAAAAACTTATTTATTATCCTTCAAATCTTTCTAGAACTTATTTCAAGTAAAGCGAATTCTTTGTATTCATTACTCTCAGTAGCCAT